ATATTATATTATATTATATTATATTATATTATATTATATTATATTATTATATATATAATTTAATTGATCACTTTTCCTCTTTTTTGTACACTTTTTTGTTGTTGCTGTTGTTATTAGGATTGAATGTATGCTTTTGTTTTGTTTCATTTTGTTTCCTTGTTTTACTCTTTTGTATTTTATTTATTATGATAAATCAATAAATAATATTAAACAAAAAAATTCTGCACTTCTCATTTCATCTAAGTGGGCAGTTTATACTATTAACATAAATTTGCTTTGCTTTTATTAATATAAATTTGCTCTGTTGAAAATACCCTGCTCTCAATAAACAACTAATTGATTAGAAATAATGCTCTTTTACCCATATGCTACAAGGAGCAATTTCAATAATAAAACTTATTCAGCTATATAATACACACATTTCAGATTTATGCATATATTTTAATTAAAAGGTGAGACCAACCACTTTTAAATGGGAAATAATTATTCACATTGGAAGTCAATTTCTGAAATTATAGATGAAGTAATTCGTGCAATCTCTTAATCAGATTCTGAAAGATCTTGATTATGATGATTTTTATATTAGGTGCAAGAAGTAAGTAGGGTTGTTCTTTTCAGTTTGTAAAGTACATTGTAAATCTGATCTTCTTGTAGAGGATGTTTCCTCACCTAGTATACCTCAAAAGGCTGACAAGGATGGAATCTCTTAAAAGAAAACTTTAAAATAGAATCCTAGACAATGAGACATATTGTGGAACATATCTCACATATAACTTCTCAGAATTCATATTGGAATATGGATAACAGAAGCTGCTAATTGCTAATTATATTAACAAGATGTTTATGTTAATATTTTCTATAATTTTGATTGTGTGCGCTCATTCTATGTAATGAAGTCTTGAGGGAAACAATAAAATGATCAATAAGCTTGCTAAATATATATTTGATCTTTCTCACTGATGATATATCAGTACACCTGAGCCCAACAAAAGTTGGATAGTACTTATCCAATACTGAAGCTTTACTTCACAGTCTAAAAAGTGTTCATCAAAGCCGCAAATTCTATGAAGAAAAGTAGTAAGTGATTTTTATACTGAACATTTAATAGAAAAGCCATATCCTGCTTCCAGGAGCAAATTGTCATATAGTTAAATATTTCTGACTTGACTATTTGTTATCTCAATTCTATAATGTTAACATTGGGAAGAGAATTTAAAATAATAATAACATAACCTACTGATTTAATATGTTATATGATTTGAGAGACGAAACAAAGGGGCATAATTCTGAGAAACTTAGATACAAAAAAGTATGCTTAATTAAAATAATGAGTATTTGTGTGCGGAATGGGATTTTATATGCTCCCTAAGCAATAAAACTAATGTGTATTTTAAATGATAATATTTCTCACTTATGCTGATATCTGAAAAAAAATTACATTTATGGGGTATAGAAATGTACAAACTATTGGAAGATCTGATCCCTAATAGCTGAGTTAATATCTCTGACCTTATTTTTAGGTCTATTTACATTTAACGGACAATGTATGGTGGCATTCCTGAAATTCTTTCTTCATTTATATACTACTAAAAATTCTTATTCCCATAATCTCTATTTGGGCAAAACTGTACACTGTAAGCAAAACATTTTCAACCAAGGTACTTCAAATGGGCTAACTTACAGAACGTATCGAAAAATCATTCAGTTCCTGTGGAACTGAAATTTGGCAAATTTTATAAAAATAATTATTAAAAAATGAGACATAAATTTATCATAAAGCATTTTATGACATAATACAAAATGTCATAAACCCTCCTGAACTTTCATTGTTATTCAACTCAACATGGACTATTTTCTGCTCTTTACATTAGAGAATGTAACCAATATCTCCCTGAATTTTAATAAGTTTACCAGTGAAGGCAGTACATTAAAAGCTCTGCCATTTTTAAGGACATAAAGGAATTCAGTAAGAAAATTACCTTTCTTCCAGCAAAGCCCCAGGCAGTTCCATTGGTCAGTCAAAAAGAAGGAGGTGGCTTCACTGGGACACTCCTGATGGACGTAAGGTGTGCAGAGCCAGTGAAAGCCTATATTATACATGGAAAGAAAAATGACCCATGGTTTGTCTAATCGTTGACAAATGGTTGAGTAATATTACTCAAAAGAATACTGATCTTTAAAAAGTCATGGTTATGGCAGGGTATGTCAATTTAATTTTTAGCTAAAATTATGGGGCAAAAACTCCATTATTTGATTATATTTGATCAGAAGATTGTAATTTTTTTTAGAGAAATAGAGAATGAGAACTATATCCTGCCTGTGAAAAAATTCAAGAAAGTATCTAGTTCAACACTTATCAATGAATGGTTTGGCAAGGAATGAATAAAACACACCATTAAGGCAGCACATTGTTATATTGCAATAAAATACCATAAGTAATAAACAGAATCACTGAGAAATGTATAAATGGCAATCACAAATTGAAAAACCATATCCAAGACCAGAGGTAATGTTTAGACTATTGAATCCAATTCCCTGATCCCTGTGCAGTTCTCAATTAAAGTATCTTTCACAAATGGCTGTCCAGCCTCTGTTTGAAAACTACCAGTGAAGACCAATCACTATATTCCTTAATTTTTGGTCCAAATAAACAAGTTATTTGGACATTACATTTTTTCTCATAGGTCAAACTTTAGTAGTTAAGTAGAACTATCATAATAAAGAAATGACAATAGGTAATCGGATCTTAGAGTCTTCATTTAATGCTTAGACAGCTGGCAGGTAGAAATGGGAGAAAGCCAACTTCAACCTAACCTTACTCTTTCCTAAAAGTAAAATTGCTTGCAAAAGAGGGTTTTTTTAATATTCCATGTTTATTCCTCATATCACCTGCTCCATACATACTTTAAAGACAAAATGTCAGACAGATAAAAAACATGAGTAAATGAAGTAAACTGGGAGGAAAAGGTGCAAATCTTGTGACATATTTCTTTCCAAATATATTCTTATATTTCCCAAAAACTATTCTGCTACTCTCTGTCTGCCTCTGTCACTGTATCTCTTCATGAGTGCGTGAGTGGATGCAGGTGCATCTTATACACACTTATGGAATTAAAGGGTGTCCACCACTCATCATTGTAACATTTTTAGTATGTGCATACTTTCTAACTTTGAAATACATTGTCTTTCTTCAATCAAGGGACATTCAAAACATACATGCATAGTTTTTCTCTAATAATATTTCTTATCTGTGCTTTCTTGCAGTTATGTCATAAGTTAAATATGGAGAATCAAACCACTGTTCCTTACTTTCTGCTGCTGGAATTCTCACAAAATCGGCATCTACAGCTTCTATATTTCTTCTTATTCTTCATATTATATCTAGCAACAGCAACAACAAATCTTCTCATCATTTTTATAGTAGTTTTTGACCATTGCCTACACAATCCCATGTATTTCTTTGTAATGAATTTGGCTGTGCAAGACTTGGGCATTGTTTCAGTCATTGTCCCTAAATCCATGATAAATTCTCTCATTGACAGAAGACATATTTCTTATTTTGGTTGTGTTGCTCAATTTTTTCTCTTTATCACCTTTGAAGCTTCTGATTTCTTTCTCCTGGCAGTTATGGCATATGATCGGTATGTTGCCATTTGCCGCCCACTGCACTATGACATGGTGATGAATTGGAAAGCCTGCACCAAAATAGTGCTTTTGGTGGGGGTTTCCAGTGTACTCTATGGAATGTTGCACACCATTGGAACCTTTTCCATCCCTTTCTGTTCTAATGTTGTCAACCAGTTTTTCTGTGAAATTCCACACTTGCTAAACCTGTCTTGCTCTGGATTCAATCTAGTTGAGGATGTAGTTCTTGTGGCCAGTTTCACTGGAGCATTAGGTTGTTTTATTTTGATCATTGTTTCTTATGTCATGATCTTCAAGGCAGTGTTGAGAATCCCTTCTGTGAAAGGAAGGCAGAAGACCTTTTCCACTTGTCTTCCCCACCTTATAATACTTTCTATACTTGTGGTAACTTCATGCCTGGCCTACCTGAGACCCCCCTCCAATATCCCATCTTACTTAGACTTAGTATTCACTGTCCTATATTCCTTACTTCCACCCCTGTTCAATCCAATCATCTATAGCATTAGAAATAAGAATATCAAACTTGTTCTGTCTAAACTATGGAAATTCTGACATTTTTCTTTGCCTATTTTTTTTATTTGATTGTCTTGCATTGAACATTCTTTGTCTTTGCCTTCGGTTTTCAATAGAAATATCTAGTGGATTGGGAAATTGCAATGGGAAATATTTGGAGATACAGATAGAGCTTCATCATGTCCTTCCAGATCAACGGTAGCACTTGAGAAATTAGTAAACTACAATTCCATATCAAGTCCCTATCAATTCAATCAAGCAGAGATCAAAAGGAAAGATGACTAAGAAGAGCTAGAAGGACATGTAAAATTGATTCTTTTTTATTTTATTTATTTATTTATTTATTTTGTCAAGCACATATTAGATAGCAGATATAGGCATAAACATGGTTATTAACACATGAAATGGATACAAATAAAAGGGGACATTAGAACAGGGATGGTAGGCAAGTTGGTGCGTTTATACACACCTCTTACAGAACTCTTAGGAATGGGGTGAGGTCAACAGTAGATAGTCTAAGATTAAAGTTTTGGGGGTTTGGAGAAGAAACCAGAGTCAGGTAATGTATTCCAGGCATTGACCACTCTGTTGCTGAAGTCGTGTTTCCTGCAATCAAGTTTGATGTGGATCATACAATAAAACACACTCATTACCTGTGAGAATTGAAGAGAAAACATTAATTCTAGAAAAGCTTCCATAAGTAGAAAATTGATAGGTTACGTTACTCTTTCCCAATTGGGTTTATATATTTCTTAAAAGCTGTGTGTATTCAAGGGCTTTCAGAATATGCTCTGTATTGTGTAGTTGCTGAAATAGCAAGTCCTCATGTAGCAAAGAAATTTACTTAGTTAAGAAGAAAAAAAAACATACTTTCCTACAGTTAAAAAAAGAGGCCAAGACTGCCATGTTAAAAGTGCTAATATCACTTTTTAAAATGCTAATAATGAAGGCTAAAATTTGAGGCAACAATCTGAGTTGGATCTTGTTTCTAGCCAAGAGAAGAGGGGTAACCAAGTCCTGTATATAGGCTGCAGCTAGCTATCATTCTTTGGAATTTTGCTGCAGCCAAGTGTCATTAACAGGAATGTTTATTCTGTTGCTAGGCAAATGTAGAACCTCTGTTCTGCTCTCCTTTCCATGGGGCCCTGACATTCAACTATTATTATGAACAATTTTTTCCAAATGACTAGCTCTACACTATGTTGCTTCACAACCTCACCATTACTGAAAACGCAAAATAATCATTCAGTGGCAGTCAGCTGCAATAGATATCATTAAAAAATCCACAGTGGCTACTTTTGTGTCTGTCATCAATGGAGTAGAGTAGAAATCTCTTTCTAAGGCATATAGGCAGCAATAATGGGTGGAGACAAAATCGTCTCCTCATGTTGTGTGTGGGAATCTGAGATACATGTATAATGGAAGGTGTTGGAGTGATGGAAGTCCAAAAGGGTTGCCAGAATTAAAGAGGTATTTTAATATTTTTCAGTGCTGTCACCTGGCCTTAACTCAGACTGAAAAGGATCCAGATAATAAATTTAATTTAATTTAATTTAATTAATTCAATTTATATGCCGCTTCTCTCCGAAGACTATGGCGGCTCACAATACATTTTAAAAAATCATTATAAAAAACATTTAAAAATTAAAAACATTAAAAACATTAAAAACTCATTCACACCATTCATGGCTGGATATTGCCAGATCACAAGAGCAAGATCAACGGCCCCAGGCCTGCTGGAAAAGCCAGGTCTTCACCGCTTTTTGGAAGCCAATAGGGTGGGGATGGTCCGGAACTCAGGAGGTAACTGGTTCCAGAGAACTGGGGCAACCACAGAGAAGGCCCTCCCCCACGGACCCGCCAGCCGGCATTGTTTAGTTGATGGGACCCTGAGGAGACCAACTCTGTGGGATCTTACCGGTCGCTGGGAGCTATGCGGCAGAAGGCGGTCTCGAAGATTTCATCCAACGTCCTCTGAAACTAGCACCTATGCCCCACTCAGCAAACTTCTCTAAACTGAAGTTGGTGACCAGGCAAATTTGACTGACAGACTTGGATCCTCTTAATCATCAGTAGATGAGGGATAAGCATCCCTCCCACAAGAAGGCAGTGATCACTGCTTGATCCATTGTATGGCCTCTCTGGGAAGGCCTTAATTAACTTGTTTTCTGTAAAATAAGTTTGATTGAAGACCAAAAGAATTCATGATTCCACAGTTTTAAGACAAACTTCCACTAATTTATAGGAACAGTGCATTCAGCTAATTATTCCAAAATAGCTAATGTAAATCTTATACACTTCTGTTTCTCATAAATGTACATTGATAGCTTGATCAGGGATGTCAAACGCAATTTCATTGATTTCATTCACTTGATTTCATTGAGGGCTGCATCAGAGTTGTGTTTGACCTTGGGGGGGGATGGGTGGGCATGACTAGCTCGACATCACTCATGTCGGGGGTGCCTGTGGAGGCCCGAGTTCTCTGCTAGCTCCATTTTTGGCTAGGACAGCCTCCTGAAACCCTCTGACAGCAAAAACAGAGCTTGGGAGGCTGCCTGCAGCTCTCATGTGCTTTGTTTTCAGTGCGATGACCTCCTGAAACCTTCTGCCAGTGAAAACAAAGCTCGAGAGGGACACATGCAGCCCTCCCAAGCTTCATTTTCACTGGCAGAGGCACTGCGGGCCAGTCCTTTGCTGTTTCCAGGTTCCCCGTGGCCTAGATATAAGTACCCCATGGGCTGAATCCAGCCCCCGGGGCTTGAGTTTGACACCTCTGGCTTAGATCTTACTTAGTATTGGAGAATGTAAGAAACAGCAATGATATCAGGACCAGAGGGAACAAATACTAAATCCTAAGTGGAATGAACTGCACACATACAAAAAATCTAGATAACATATTCTTTAAATTCTATGGATTTTTTTAAAACAGTTATATCAGAACTAAACTGGGTGAGTATAATAATGTTATTAAAGGAGGTTTAGACAGATTTACACAGCCACTTGCCTTTTTAAACTTTCTCTGTTATGTAAATATACCATATATTTCATTTCAAAACCCAACAAATGCTCTGTTTTACATATTGGCAAAAAATAATAATAAAAAATAAGAATATAAAATTCAAGCTGGATAGACACGACCTCATAGATGACCCTCATTCTGTCAAAGATCTTGGAATACTCATCTCTAATGATCTACATGGCAGAGCCCACTGTAAAAACATTGCCAAAAAGGCATTAAGAGTTGTTAACTTAATCTTGGGTAGCTTCTTCTCTGGTAATATTGTACTGCTAACTAGAGCATACAAAACATTTGCTACACCAATTCTTGAATACAGCTCATCTGTATGGAACCCACACTGCATATCAGACATTAATACAATTGAGAGAGTCCAGAGATATTTCACGAGAAGAATCCTCCACTCCTCCACTCGCAACAGAATATTTTATGACACTAGACTTGAAATTGCTTTCTTGATGTATCACATTCACCACATTATATGTATCATTTGTTTCTGTACCCTATTTGGTCTCCCTTCTCTTAATAAAGACTTTTTAATAAGGTAATAAGTCCTTTCATTCATGCTACCATAATTTTGAATGGACATTAAATGAATGGGCATAAGTCGAGGACTATCTGTAGGTAAAGTAATTAGAAAGAAATATATTGAGGTATGCAGATCTTGACTGAACAGCATCGGGGGAAAAAAACAGATTTTCCACCAGGACAAAACTTCTTGATTTCCAGAAAATCTAACAAATACAAAATCTGTTGCACATGTTGTATTAGACATGACATTCTACTGCCCCTCATAGGAAAATCAAATGCAAATGAAGTCAAGTGCCATTTTCACCAAAAAAAATAACAATTTAAACTTAACAATTTTTCTGATCTTCCCAGGAAATAATACATTTTTTTCAGGATCTAGTAGTACTGCTTCCATGTGAGCTTGCAAATGAAATAGTCTAATAATAGTAAAAATCAAAATTACTTGACATGCAGTATCTCAAATGCAGATTTAAAGATTTTTGTTTTAAATTTAAATTGTTTTAAATTTAAATAATAGGTATGAAAAAATGATGGACAAAATAGAATAGAGTAGAATAAAAACAGAATAAGAATAAAGAAATCTTAAAAGGGAAAAATAAAGTTTGAGCCTGTAAATAAATAATTTATATATTATTTATAACCGAATCAAATTGATGGAAATTGAGAGTTCCAGTTTGGCATCACGGCGAGACAGTCAAGGAAATAGTGGGCTCTGAAGAGCGCCGCAAAAACCCCGGCTGCTGAACCGCTGCCGATGGGTCTTCGGACCAGAACTGTACTGTAAGGATGGGGAAGAAAGAGAGGTGCCTCAGACAACCAAGAGGAACAGGCAAGTTCCTTGGAGGTCAGAGGGAACTCTCTGTGAGTCGGCACGGGGAGAGGCAGCCATGGCAGCTGCCATGAAGCTGGACAACCGGGCTAAGAGATGTGCAGGAGGAAAGTGGATTGAAATGGAGCTCTTTGAAGCCAGGTGAGTGACAACCAACCCAGGCTTGTAACAACTCTTAGAGCAATATTTTTAACCATAGGACCCCTAGCCATAAAACAGTGGCTGTACAAACAAAGGGGCAATGGAAAGTTTAAAATGTAACTTTAAACAGACAAAGACTCAATAAACAACTGATTTTTGAACAGAACCAATTGAAAAAACTAAATTTTGAGACATGGTGAAAAGACTGGACAGAGTTTTAAAATTTGAGCTGGACTTTAAAAAAGAAGAAGATTTGATATTTTTAAAATTAAAAGAGAAAGAGTGGAATGTTGGACTGTTATATAATTGAAACAAAATGGATACTTGCATGACTAATGGAAATTGTGGATTGTAGAGAGACACCTTCTGGTTTAAAAAGGAACATTGTAACCTGTTTTTTTGTTATGGAAAATTATGAATCTTACAGATAATAGCCGTGGGATTTTGTGGAGGAGGTTTTTTTTCTTGCCTGCAGGTAGCTTGACTTGGGTGAAAAGAAGGGAAAACTATAACGGAACTCTCATAATTGGAATAATAACAACGTAAAAAACTGGCACAGGAATAAGAGAAGGATTTGGTGCAGGAACAAGAGAAGGAATATTTGATACATTGTATCCAGAATAAAAGTAAGAAAAAGAATTAAAATGATACATGGAGGACAAAATTTGAAGTCTTTGAAAATGAAATGAAATATATGCTAGCAGATGAGAACATGAAGAAATAAGGTATACACGGCTGGAAAAAGAAAAAGATTAAAACAAATGTGATTAAAAATGGAAAAACAATATATATTATTGTTTTATTGTATAGGTGGACAGTAATAACAAAAAGGAGGTTCTTATAGATAAATATGGATGAATAGGAATATGAGAAGAATATGTTATAGATATATAAAACTGAAATACTGATGCAAATTAGACTATAAGAGAAATAAATTATGTTAAAAGAGATTTATAAATGCATATAAAGATGTGTTTGAAGTAAGAACTATGTCTCAATGCTAAATTGACATAACAAAGATAATGATAATATGATTAACTGGGAATAAGTTATGTATAGATGGATGGTAACAACAAAAAGATGATTATGCTGGGATTAATAGTAAAAACAAAAATGATTATGCTGGATTTAACAGCAAAAAGCAAAAATGATTATGCTGGGTATGACAGTAAAAATAAGGAGGATTACGCAAGGACTAACAGTTAAAATGAAATGATTTTGCTGGGTTTAATAGCAAAACAAATATGATTATGCTGGGATTAACAGTAAAAATAAAATGATTATGCTGGGATTAACAGTAAAATTAAGATGATTATGCTGGGATTAACAGCAAAAAAATGATTATGCTGGGTATGACAGCAAAAACAATGATGCTGGGATTAACAGCCAAAAACCAAAAATGATTATGCTGGGTATGACAGCAAAAATAATGAAGATTATGCTGTGTTA